TATTAATCTGCCGCAACTTATTGCCTTAATGCTTCATCAATTAAGGAGTGAAGAGGCCGTTTAAAAGGGCTTCATTACCCCGAAAGTGTTCAGCACAGAGGCTTCTTCTGTCTGTTCCTGTAGTTTAGGAAATTTATATGTATCTACGGGACCCAAGAGCAGACCCTGGGGCTTGTGATAAGAAGACATCTAATAACTATACGTTTGGTACTTCAACTTACACTTGCAATGTCTATTTACAATGCAATCGTTTGCTTATCAATCATTCAATTTATATCCGTATTTGGACTTTTGGGGTGATGAGGTTTACCCAATTACGAGGCCACGAAATGGTGATGTTTGGCCTGTGCACAGATTCTCAATATTCTTTATAGATAAAGTATATATTTACAGGAGAAAACAAAGAACTATATTTTCAGTTGAATATTTCTTAATTCCTTCCTTTGATAGTATATATCTTTATATACCTTTCAGAGTTAATGACGTGGGATTGTAACTACGGCCATAGTTGTTTATACATATGTGTGTGTGTATAAATAGATACATAGATATTCATATACGTTTGTGTGTGTGTGTGTGTTGTGTGTGTGTTGTGTGTGTGTGTGTGTGTTGTGTGTGTGTGTGTGTGTGTGTGTGTGTGGTGTGTGTGTGTGTGTGCGTGCGTGAGTGGAGGACAAAAAATGCACAGTTATTAATGATTTTATTCATTAATACAGGACATATAAATATATCTTGATACAATAACTTCAAGGGCGTTTGATTTCACATGCCACTGCAAAATACCCGACACTCAGACATGTGCTCCGGTATCACAACGAACCACGGTCACAATACAAAGACAGATCACATTCACAATTCAACAATCCCTAAGTCTTACTCAGATTTTATAAGATTTATTCCATGTTTAAAATATCGACACATTAACAAAAAAAAAAAAAAAAATGTTTACATACACCATCCCTTTCCTAAACATCTTTATATTCTTTATATACAAACATGAAAGGACTCATATATTTTCTTTTATTTTCGTCTAGAATTTGAAGCAAAACCAACAATGGCACAGGTAGGGTATCACCACAGACTACGGAATTTCAAATCGTAAGGCAAAACTGGTTTAGATTAGACAATGGGAGATTTTATGAACATTGATTATATGGAACTTGGTGCCCAGCTTTTGTGGGAAGTTTCGTGTTATTATGTTATATGTATATAGTCATATGTAAAAAAAAGGTTATTTGTACAAAAGATATCTAACAATAATGTTATATCTGATACTGTGAGATCCATTAATTCAAGTGTGTGTAAAAAGTGCACATAAACAAATTCACGAGACGAATATTACGAAAGGTTTCAATCACTTTCTTTGCAGTTACAAAAGGGGCCCACACTCTATCAGGAATCAGCAGAGTTATGCAAGGACGTGGCTGTTGTAGTGGTTGTGGGAGTTTGGTAATAGAACGCTGATGATCGCCATATCAGTAATAGTAACGACACTAATGATAATGATGAAGATAATTCTAGTAATGACTATGGAATAATAATGATGATAATTACATCAACGATAATGTACATTATAATAATGATGATGATGGGGATAATGATAATGATAATAATAACAATAATAATAATAATAATAATAATAATAATAATAATAATAATAATAATAATAATAATAATAATAACAATAATAACGATAATAATAAACAGTAAGAAAAATAGTGATTATACAAATGGATAAAATATCATACTCACAACAACAGTAATACTATTAGTGTCAATACCATTAACAATAAAAATTAGATTCATCCCTTGTCAGATACACATCCAACATACACACTGCGTTAGCGGTTCCAAAACCACATAGCACCAAAGAGTTCTTTGACTGGGCGACTCCAGCCTCCCTGCGCCTTAGTTGTCACTACTCCAGCACCTCGCACGACTGGTAGATTATAATGTGCATTGTGAATGTGGGCAAGAGAAGACAGGGAGGGAGGGAAGGGCAAGGAGGGAAGGGAAGGAAGAGAGGGAGAGGAGGGGGAAGGGGAAGGAAGGGGAAGGGAGAGAGGGAGTGGAGAGAGAGAGAGAGAGAGAGAGAGAGAGAGAGAGAGAGAGAGAGAGAGAGAGAGAGAGAGAGAAGAGAGAGAGAGAGAGAGAGAGAGAGAGAGAGAGAGTACAGTACAGTTAATAGGAGGAAGTGGTAGCGAGAAAAGGACAATAAGGAAGACAGCTCAAAAGCGTATTAATCACTTGTGGTGAATATCTATTGTGGCGTAATAACAACTTTTTTGGCACGTGAGGAACTATTACAGTTACCCTTAAAATGTATCATAGAAAACGTTTTCACCTGAAGCATAAACTATTGCAGATTCTGTTGGTTCATATCTTTATTACTTACATTTCACTGGATGCAGTAATTAGAAGAATTCATATGGATATTATTTACAAAAATCAATCTTTTAATACAAATAGTATGACATTCTACTCTACCCATATTAACTGACAAATAAGTATTACCAAGCTGTGTTTACCGAAAAAAGAGAATTCCCCTATTTCTTTCTCTTTTCCTAACCCTTCCAGCATGTAGGTTGAACCCTTTTATGGCACTCATTAAATATTCACTTATTATCCTGAAAAAAACTCGTGATAATACATTTCCGTGCATGTAAAATTATATTTTACAACCTAGAGAAGCGCTAAAAATATAATTTTCGGTGTTTCGGTAGAAATTTTAGGAGAGAAAAGGAGATTGTATCTTGGCGGAGGTTGTCTTCAGGATTCTGTGGAAAAGTGTACGTTCTTTCTGTTATCTAGGCCTATGAATGTATCGAAGTTGGTGAAGTCTGACCTTTAAGCAAGAGTACATGTGATTCAAGACCTATCAGTCACAACTACAGCGTCAAAGATGAAGTTCCTGCCCCGAGCATGACCCTGGCTGGCTCCGAGGTCCTAGCAGCGCGCCTCGCGAACCTCCTGGTCGTTCAGGATCCAGGATATCTTGGGACTTCTCGAGAGGCTGAATCCCGGAGGGTCCTCCTGCAGCACGGCCGCCTCCGAGAACCCTTGCGCCAGAGATCCCTCCAGGGACTTGGAGCGGGTCGACCGGCCCTGGAAGGCGGGCGGGCTCTTGGGAGGTCCTCCTGCGTGGATCGGCACCGGGATCCTCGAAGGACTTCTGGGTCCCTGCTCGTCGTGGAGGTGGTACTGCCCCCGAGAAGGCGCCGCCGTGACGGGCCTCGGGATCCTGGAGGGGCTCCTGGGTCCCGGGTCCCTCAGGTGCTCGCTGCTGTACCTCGGCCCGACGGGGTACTGGAACCTGGTGTAGCTCGGCCGCCGCTGGTGGCCTCGGTACCCGGGCGAGATCTGCTCCTGGAAGTCGGGGTGGAAGCCGCCCTCCGAGTCCAGGAACGAGTGGCTCTTCGCCCCCGGACTCACGGGCGGCTGCAGGCGAGGGCGCGCATCCAGGAGGTCGCCCAAGGACTGGCTCTTGCTCCCGAGGGTGATCGTCGGCGGAGGAACCCGACTCCTGGAGAAGCTCGGCCGCGGGCCCTGGAGGGGGCGGAGGCCGGGCATGGGGGCGACGTGTCCCTGGACCCTGGAGTGAGCCGCAGCGCGCAGCTTCTCCGGGTCGGCCCAGGGACAGGCGCAATATTATTCGTAGTACTTTCCTTTCTGCGAGAGCCAGATGTGGCGGTGCTGCAAGGGAGGGGCGCGGTGAGTGCTCGGGATGCTGGCAGACATGTGCACCGAAAGCTTATACTAGGGATTATATGTTACAAATAAACAGTATGGAGTGTGTGCTTTTGTGGGGGTCAGAGACACGGACAATGAAAGCGGACATAAAGAAAAAAGAGGCTTCTGAAAAGTGGGTTTGGAAGATGGAAAAAAATAAACGGGACAGAGAGGGACCAATAAAGACATGTTGACAATGTTGGAAGAAATGAGGACATTGAAAAGACTTCTAAGAGGGGTTGTTGAAAAAAGTGATTGAGGGAGAATAGCTGATAAAAGACAGTAGAATGAAAAGACTGGGCATGTTAAGTTAATCAAAGGAAGATGGGTGTGCAAACATGAAGAGAAGAACAGAGTCATGGAAAATGGATGCTAAAGGTACCTGTCGTAGAACAGAACACTATACACACACACACACACAATATATATATATATATATATATATATATATATATATATATATATATATATATATATATTGTGTGTGTGTGTTCGTATGTCCGTGTGCGTGGTGTGCGTACATAATACACATTTACACAATACACCTATATATACACATAGCTATATATAAACATGAATAGATACACATGATTATAGATGCACACACTAAGACCGAGGCCCTCACCACCAGCTCGGCTCCCTGGTAGAACTCGGGCATCTCTCGCTCCCGCACGCTCTGGTACAGCGACAGGACGAGCACGAAGGCCATGACCATCAGATGAACGACGCCACCACGAACATCACCCACCAGTACCTCGCATCGCCACCAGTTGCTGCTGCGAAGAGGTTAGGTTGAAAGGAAGGGTTTTTTTTTTTTTTTTTTTTTGGGGGGGGTATTTATGTCTGATTGGTTTGTTTTTGGTTGTGGTTATGTTTGTTTCTATTTCTTTCTCTCTCTCTCTCTCTCTCTCTCTCTCTCTCTCTCTCCTCTCTATTATATATATATATTTATATATATATATAATAATATATATATTATATATATGTCTATTTCTATCCATCTCTATCTGTCCACCTATATTCATCTATCTCTATCTATTTATCTATCTTTATCTACCTATTTCCATCTCTATCTCTATCTAAGTCTATCTATCTATATCAATCTATCTATATCTATCTATTTATCTATCTCTACCTATATCAATCTATCTATATCAATCTATCTATATCTATCTATTTATCTATCTCCTATATCTATCTATCTCTTTCTATATATATATAATCTATCTCATCTTACTCTCACTAATTCGACAATGTTGTAATAACAGATC